TCCCAGGGTTCCCCGGCCAGCATCCACGGGCCGTCCCGGCCAGGGATGATGGGGGTTGTATTCCTGCAGGGCTGGAAGGGAGCTGGGGCAGAAAAAGGATAGCGTTGGGGCTGGGGTCGCACGTCGCCCCGAGCCCCAAACAGCCGGTGTGTGTCAGAGGGGCGGGCTGTGCGCCCTGCCGTTGGGGTCTCATCAACAAACTACATACATTTGAATCGTAGCTGCATCGTGGTTCAAAGAAACCAGGTTTGATGCCACCTCTGAAAAAGCCCCCCCCCATTTTGGCCTGGGCAGGCGCCCACCTTCTCAAGGCCGGCGGGAGAAACGGCCCAGTATTCCCGCAGTGAAGGGCCTCCGAAGACGGGCCGGCCGTCAGACCGCCCCGGCTGTGCCCTTCGGTGGGGCTCCTGGGGCCCCGAGCCCCGGGCCTTCCTCAGGGAGCGCGCGGCACGTGCTTCGAGAACGCCTTCTGCGCCTGAACGTCTGCTCGTTCCCTGGAAGCAGAGAAGACGGTTGATGCTGCCTCGAGAAGCAGTACTTAGGAAAAGAATGGATACCGAGCCACAGGCGTGCTCTTCCTTGTGGCGCTCGCTTTTGGACCAGGAAGAGGTGCTACAGAATTAGAGAGAGAAGAGGAAAACCCGCCGGAGAATTTGGGCTGCGTTCTTCCAGCGGAAAAGACAGCTGCAGAAAATCCCTTGCGAGCAATAGTGCGTGCTACCGGTATCTCATGTACTAACCAAAGACAGGCCAGTAGGTAACCAGGGGAAGCCCTGACATCACACGTGAGACGTCACTTGCCCCTTCCGTTGCCCATGGAAAGGCCGGTCATCATCATCATCAAGGGACAAAACCTGAATACCTTGAGAATGCCTGCTCAAACCATGCTGTTTTCACTTATTTTTGCACAACCCAAGGAGAGAGGAAATCTGGCCATTCCCAACGTGGCGCTTTCCAAACCATCTGGACTTCAGTTCTCCTTATTCCAGTCCCAGCAAACATGATTGACTAATTGCATTAAAGTCATTATTCTTTGAACCACAACAAGTTCAGAAGAGTCCTGCTGACCAAGGGATTATTATCCCTTAAAGGTTTATTCCATGATACTCTCTGCACACCAAGCACACACTTTCTGTGACACAAGTATAACTTCTAGGAAATGGGCAGTCTGAAGAAGAACTTGGTGAAAATCCAGAGCTAGTGCCAGCATTTTAGTGGGTTCTGAGGATCTAAACACAACACATAGTCTTACCTGGTTAGTGTCCTCCCGTGCAGCCGGCAAAGAGGAGCTCAAAGCTCCGTGTCTTAATAGCCACCGTTATTTTAGGCTCCCCTCACCTTTTCTAGCAGGTGACATGGCCTTCTCTGCTGCCGGCTTCCGCTTTTCAAACGTCTTCTTCACATCAGCCACTTTAAGAGACCTTTCCTCCTCTTGTTTCTTTGCTCTCTTTCTTTGCTGCTGTGACAAAACGTGCTCATCTTCCCAGGCTGTTTCTCCAGGAGTTTGGCAATCTTCACTGGAAGCACGAGAGGGGGACCGCAGCATCACAACCATGCTAGGTGTAGACTTGGAGGTCTCCACTAGTGGTGCTTCGGTTTCAGGGCTCTGCAAACTATCCACCGGGCTACTGGAATCAAATCCTGGTTGACTCCAGAGCCCTGCATCTTCCTCACTGTCAGGGGACTTGCTGTGGATTTGCTTGGAAGGTTTCCTAGCCTGGGGAAAAGCCAAAGCAAGACTGAGAGCAGTGGACCTTTTCATCTCAAGGGCCTTGCCCACCTTGTTGCTCTCAGACGCCTCTGGCTTCTCCTCTTCACCACGAAGACCCGCGTGGCAGCCATTGGGAGCTCTGGCCGGCCAAGGAAGACCATCAGCCGTTGGCTCAGTGACTGCTCCTGGGTCGCTGGGGGCTTGCTCTTCCATTTCTTGCCTACTTTGCACTGGTGGGTTCCCCGTCTCTCCATTGTGCCCCCCCTCAGAAAAATCCAGCCAGCTCAGGATCCCGGCCTTGTTTTCATCACCAGGGGAGTTCAGCATGAGCTTGTTGACTTGCCTGCTTTCGGTGCTGCTCTCCGAATCCGACCGCGTTATCGGCTGCCTCAGGGTCCCCTGGAGAGCGCTGGTCATCTCTCTGCTCCCACCTGCAGCCTCTCTCTCCAAGCTTTGCTGGCGGCCAAAGTTATTTATCTGAACCAGGGGCCAGCTGTGATCTGTCATTTCCCTTTTCCTTTCAGATGCTGGAAAGTCAAACGGGTGGAATTCTCCTTGGGTTGTGACGATGCTGAGTTCTGCTTCCTCCAGTCTGTACAAAAGAGCAGTCACCTTCCTGCCTTCTTCCGAGCACAGCTTTGGGAACACCTGCATCGCGCCCTGCCCCATCTGCGCACCGAGGGCCCTCCATTCAGGCTCCGCCAACCACCCAGCTGTTCCTCTCTCACCCGGGCTTCGGTTCAGTTGTATTTCTCTTGCAGACACGTGAACGCACCCCACTCTGCTGGTTGCCTGGTGGCTCTCGCCAGCCTCCTGCTCCACCGTTGAAGCCCAAGCGTCGTGTCGCATCTTGGAAGTCCTTCTGATGTGAGGGGGCTGTTTCCTTTGAGTCATCCTGCTGCTCTCGAGCAAGAACCCCGAGTGGTGCCATTCTGCAGCTTCCATGCTCGGCAGGGGCCGGGACACCTAGGCCAAATCCTGCGCAGATAAAACCCGAACAAAATCTGTGCCCCGGCTGTCAGTCCATCAGCTTTGCATTTGCAAGAAGCCTAAGAGGAAGGCATGCACATTTTTTAAAAACCTAGATAAGAATGATTAGCATGGCCGAAACAACTGCATCCATCTCAATAGTGAGACAAGAGATCACTGTTTTAAAAGGAAAGGCACTACAGATTTTCCCCACCTGAACAGAAGCAGCCGCCTCCAACGTCCCAGCGTTGTAGCTGCAGACCTTTCTTGCTGGAAGGACGAGTCACAGACTCAAAAGCAGCCCGTTGCTTTCTCTTTCCCAAGAAAAAGGGTGGTAAGCAGCTTTTTCTGGTAACTCCCAGTGACCTGCCTTTTTGGGCCCACACAGTGACGATTCACAGCTCTCCTTTTGCATTCATTTATGGTCAAGAGAGTGCTCTCTGCTCATCCCTCTCTGCTTCTGTGACTCGGGAAGGGGAGAAGAGATCAAAAGCTAACTTCCATACCTTGGGCAGAAAGATTTATCCATCCCGACCCGTCTGATACGGGAGGGACGGATCTGGTTCCCAGCTTGCTTAGGAAAAAAAAGTGCTTTAGTGAGCAGGGGGTGGGCGGGGGGTGCCGACCCTATGGTGCAGGAATATGTTATGGCTAGAGGCGTGGTTGTGACACCACAGGCCTCTGGAGGTAAACCGAGCAGCCCTGAGAATCTAAGTCTCTGCATGCAAATCTCGTCAAGGCACTCATCTTTGGGTCAAGCAGCCTCTGCTAATAATAAACTCCTGCAAATCTGCCTCGCCTGAACAGTGTTTTAAATAAAGATCTAAGTATGTGTTTATGTGCAGCCAGGGGCTGGGAGGGGGGAAAGACTGGACACTTTCAGCTAAATGGGGAGCAGCCACCACTGTCCAGCTCCCATCTCACAGCCGGACAGATGGCCGGACTGCCTGCCTTTGCTCTTTGCCTTTTATGGTTTGCGAGGTGTGAGGCTCTTGACGCCCTTCAGAGGCTCTGCTGGGAATCCAAAAGGCAGGCACAGCTGTGCCAAGGTCTCGCCCGAGCCTCCGGGGAGGGAAGGAGGACCTGGCCCCGGGGGGACATGGCACACCTTCTGCCTCGGCCATCCTCAGCTCTGGCCTTTCTGCTTTTATGGTAACAAGCAGGGCCGTGCAATAAGAGGTGGCGGTGTTGCCCCAGCTCGGATTCAGCATCCCGGCACCCCCTCCCCAAAGAATAAAGAGCAGCTTTTAGACCCCGCCTAAGGACGGAGTGGAAGATAGAGCAAAGCAAAAAAAAAAAAGCTCTTTCTCTCCCCACCTCCTTGCTGTCGTGCTGTTTAGCCCGGCTCCTTGTCCTGAAGCCTTCCTCGATAGCAAAAAGGTTGCCTGATGTTGGTCTGCTGGATGAAGAACCTCCCAGTCCCCCTCTGGAGGCCAAACCTTGTCCAAAAGACACCAGATACATACCACGTAAAAGGCAGTGGGATATTCTTAGCAGGAGTGTGTCTTTTCTGGAGCTGCAAGATGTTTATTGGGGCGCCTCCAAATGTATCCCCCCCCCCATCAGCAGGAACCCTACACGAGGAACTTCTCAAGAAGGAGCAAAGATCCTTCCCTTGCTGATCAACCAATAGTGGGATTTCCTTTAACTGCTGATTGTTGTCTGGTTTTACCATAGCAACCTTCATAACAGGATACAAACACATTAAATCCTTGCCTTCAACAAAAAAGCAAAGCTTGCCAAAAGCTGGAACGCAGAGCCACCCCAGTTTTATGATGGGTTCTCAGGACAGCTAATGAGAAAGTGTTTTTCTTCATCAAGAGGAGGGGACAAAAATAAGCCGAAGATGCAGAAGTTCAGCTAGAGTCTGTCCAGGCTGCTTTGGGGAAGAAGTCAAGGACTCTTGGATTTAAAAAGGGTGTCTAATGTTTTGTTCTCATTTTTACAGAAGGAAGGAACAGAGATTTATTATACGGCCTTCTGCTAATGGCTACTGATTCATTTTTAGACCAACGGAGGGAGTTATATGTGCAATTTCTCAAAGGCACAGAAACATGACCCCTTCCACAAAGCATCTCGCATAGTGGGGGAAACTCTCTCTCTGAGCCCTGCAAGGTTATTGCCTGTCTAGACTTCTGGCTTTTGATTCCTCTAGGTCCCAGTCTGACCAGGCTGGCTAGATGGGAAGGCAACAAGGGGAGAATCTCTAAGGCCTATGATACAATTTTTATTATATTATGAAGCCTAGGGTTTTCTGGAGAGCTGCTGCTTGTCCCAACCCATAACTTTTATAGAGAAAAAAAAAATCATGATGACTTTATAGCTAGGGGTTCAACACCTAAGGATCAGTTTTCTGTTAAAACATCTGTCAAGCTCAACATTTCCAGCTTCGGTAGGCTCCGTTTGACCCTAAAATAATATCTCTTTGTCCATCCCTGTATCATAGATGTTTTCCTCTTTTCTTAAATTTCTTTTTAGCTTTTGCTAAATAGAAAGATATCATCGAATCGCCAGCCATGAGAACACGGTGCTTATTAACGCAACCCTTTGCTAAACAGATTTGAGGTAGATTGTCATCGTCCCTACTTAGGATAAAAAATACACAAACCACAAACAGGATCTGACTTTTACACAAGCTGCTATTTTGATCCAAGAAGGCCAGATTGTTGACATCATCCCAAACCTGTTTCTTTACAGAGGATCAGCCAAGACCGAGGCTGAGGACACATCTGTGTATCTGAGACATCTGGCAGAGAAGGAGCTGTTATGGAGAGCCGGCTTTGGAAGGCAGGAGTTAACTCTTATGGCACCTGCCGTGTGGAGCGCTGCAGCCTTCCGGGAGAAGGGTCCACCTCCAGCGATGCAAGGACTTCAGGTCCAAATTCAGCCAGCAGGGCATGCATCATGTACAGGCACGCTGAAGCATGAGTCACGGTGACCTCTGAGCAGGCTGTTCCGTTCCCCACTTCACGGTGCCTCAGTTGCCCACTCTGTTCCCTGAAGGCAACATCGCAGGGCGTGAGCCTGTTTGTCTTAAGGGGGCTCTTTGTGGTGGTGAGAGGTAAAACACAGCCCCCAGTGCAGAGGAGGAAAGGATTCCCAAAGCACTGAACACTGTAATCAGCCACGGGTCTCAGAGCTGTGGGCGTGGGCTCGAACAGTTAGGAGACACGAGAGAGCAGAAGAGGCTGCAGTCAGGCGGTGGGTATCCACCCTGCGCTGCAAAATGGCTGCCAGCCCACTCATCTTTCCTAAGGATGCTTCCCCAGGCATCATTTTTAAAATATTTTTCCCTTCTTCTCCTCCTTCTTCCAATTTTGTACATTTGCCCTAGATGTGGTCCTTCACCTGAGTAGGATGATGGAGTTCTGGAACCAAACCCCAGAGTATTTTGAGGTACTTTCTTGAGGAAGCAAGGGTGACCCCAAAGAATAGTCCAAATTCTGGGTTCAGAGCTCCACGGGAGAATCTACTGAGAAAAATCAAGGATTATCTCAGACAGCAACACAAGGGGAAGCAGGGCAGAGGCTGGGCGGGGGGCCCAAGCTGCAGAATATGCAGAGGATGATGAAGCTGGGTGGGGAGAATTCACGTGGACGGGCCAAAATCCTTCATCCAGGAGACTTCCAAGGGCTGAGCCTAGAGTTTTCCATGCCTCAATCTGCAAAGGTTGAGCAAACTCACCCCATCTCCCAGAGCCCCTCTGAACTTTTCAAAAGCTGGTTTTTGGAAGGTAGGAAGCCCTGCCTGCTCTGTGCAACGCCTCTCCAGAGCAAACCCTCTGCAAAGGGTTTTCATGTCATCGGCTGAGATTGCTTCAGATGCAGGACTGTTCCAGATGCATCAAAGCATCTGCTCTGCCCCCTTGGAGCCGCACTCAGGAAGACGGTGTGAGCTATGCAGGAAGCAAAGACAACGAAGGAGCTGCAGAACCTGGGAAGGCCCAGAGCCACCTCAGTGCTGAAAGGCCACTAAGAAGGGTGCCTTCCTTCAACGACGGTTTCAGAGTCAATTAGAGACTGAGATGGAACGCAAGGCAATCTTTGGCTAGGACTACGTTGCTCCACTAAGATAAACACCGACAGTTTCTTTCCCTCCAGCACGAGAACAATTCCAAGCAACCCAAAACTCTTCCGAATGGAGGAAACAAACACTGACTGGTGGCCTTTAAAGGCAAAACTTGGTGAGATTCTGGAGAAGCTGACGCCCTCCTTCCCGAAATGGAAGAAAGCTGACTCATCCCTAAAGTTGTATCTATTGGATTTAAAAAAAAGAAAAAATCCTGTGATTTTCAGATACGGAGTGAAGAACCCTAGTTGCTTATTCTGGCTACCCACAATTCGAGGTATACACATGATATGTAAAATACACACTCAACAAGTACTACAAAAGCAAGCAAGGAGGTGGCATCTGTGGATGGTCGTGTTGCTGAGGAGGGGCAATGCAAGTTGGGGGCAGTCCCCTTTAAGCGCCGTTTATGTTCATGCCTGCCAATTCAATTAAACACATTCCAATCACAATTATTTCGTTCTTTCTCTGAAATCAGTTCAAAATAGCCCTTGCCTATAATTCGTTTTTAGCATTTGGTTCCTACACGTCGTATCAGTGGCAAGAGACTCCAGCAGCATTTCTCTAAAATTCATCTCTTTCTGCCACCCTGTGAAATCAACCACTATTTTTCTGGTATTCAGTGCCACTCTACAAACGTTTTATTCTACGAGCAAACCCAACCAAGAATCTTTCACAAATTGGGGAAAAGTTGGTTCTATTTCTGCTCAACATGTCCAGATGCCAGAAGCGAGTTACTTGGACAGGTCGCTCTCTTGCTGCACCCCCCCTGCAAAGCACGTTCTCAAATGACGAGGATGCAGTGAGGAGCATTCATTCACTCCAAAGAGTGCGGAAGCGCAAATCTGAAAAGGGTTTTTAATGGTTTCTTTACAAGAAGGACATTCTATAATACATTTTTACCAACAAAAAGTTTTTTTGTTTTTTTTTTAAAAAGTGCATTATGCCTCCCGTACTGTGAATCTACAGTACAAAATGTATGGAATATACTGTATTGTATATTTGAAGAAAAAAAAAGAACTGAGGAAACAAAGATGAAGTGGGGAAAGGCAGTTGTGTGGATCCTTTCAGCCCCGGGAGGTGCTGATGGGATCTGCCAAGAGCTGTCGCTGAAAGCAGCCCACGGGAAAACACCTGCCCACGTGCCACCTGCGCCCTCAGGAAGTAACAGGAAACCGAGCCCCATGCAGACGGGTGTCCGTCTGCGTCTTCGTACTAGTACTGTAATGGATGAACTATTCCCACCTTCATTTCTTTTGGAAAAACATCATCTCACCATTGTTTGTTTCAAGTTCCCTCTTCCTAACTGCTGTGCAAGTTCACGCTGAGGGCTTGTCATATGAAGAACTGGGCATCAACAGGCCAAGAAGTTCCTGGATTAGCCCGCAGCTTTCAAGAACAAAGTTTGATGTTTCAGGGGACCTGGAGCTGCGCTGGCCAGGGATGCCCAGAGTTGCAAACAGAGGGAGGAAAACAGAAACAGCAGCGGAGCATAACACGCGCTGGAGTTGAGGGTCCCCATTTCCGTTTCAGATGGGACCTGGGGCTTGGATCCCAAGGCCGCCAGCTGGGGAAAACAAAAGCGTCCATCTTTGAGAAACCCGACAAATCGTCTCCTGTCATGATTGCTGCATAGATTCATCCGACTTGTGTAATGTGCCAAGAGGATCTGTTTGACGTGATTTTAATAATACCCCAAACCTTTCCTGATAACTTCTCCCGAGGCAAAGTTGAGTCCTCCATAACCTGATGCCCTTCAGAAGTACTGGGCTACAAGTGCTTCTGGTCAGGTTGCTTTTGGATGATGGGAGTTGTAGTCCAGGATATCTCGAGGAGGAGGACAGGGCAAACCCCACAGGATGCGTACAAACATTACTAGGCACAGAGTTGTACTGACGTCACATCACAAACACCAGAAGTGCTAACAAACGGGCAGAACAAGTCTTTCACGTACGTATACAGTATTTGTAAACTATATGCAAGGCACTCTTATTAGTTAAAAAAAAATCACCAACGCGTAGAAAAAAAGACATGCTACCATTTCATGCATCGAACTGGCAAAAGTTCTCCAACTTTAGGGAGGGAGGAACTGATCTCTGAGATGGCATGCTAGACATTCAATATTTCCTTGTGGCTTAAGCACATTTCTCTGTTTGCTTTTGTTTTTTTAAAGGATAACATTGACCTGAGATACAGTACACGGGTGTCCATTAAACAGGAAGGATGAAATACAACAATCTTCCAATGGTGAAAAAAAGCGTGGAATGAAACGTTAGGAGACTCTGTCCCATGCAATAAATTCTTCAATGTTAATTCTCTGGAAAAGGGGAGAAATTGAACCTGAAAGTCCATACATCAGTCAGGTGTCTTAAGGATAACAACATTACTTGTCACGTCATTACAGTTAAATGTGCCTGACATTAAAGGATGCCATTTCTGGGTAATCTTCTTCTTAACAGCACCACAGCTTATATTAACACTGGCACAGTGGACATTCAGGAAAACAGACCTTCTTAAGCTGAGCTACTCTGTTTTGGGTTAAAGGTAATAAATATGCCATATTCTGATTCGTCAATGAAAGTGTTTAATGCCCCAGGAGACATACATTACTGATCCTGCCTCACTCAGTAACATTACAGTGAAATTACAGTTCACAATGTGGTCAGGAGAAACAGTAAACATCTCCTAAATGGAACAGGTACAGCAGAAGGAGGGGAGGATCAAAGGATCCCACTCAACACCCCCAAACAAAACCATTACGTTTGTAAGGATGACGATGACTTAGCCAGCAACCGGTCAGTTCAAATGGGGACACTGACCAGTATATTCAGCCCAGTGATGGCTGGCTGAAATGCTTTCTGCTCAGAAATAATCTGCCATTTCAAACCGAAGCAGGTGTGTTGAGTGAGCCATGAGGCCAGAGCTGTAATCCTATTGACCTTGGACTTCTTTTCCTTGGAAAATCCGTTTCAGAGGAAGATGTTTTAAAAATCCCAGCTACGCACACACAGACGTGTCTATCTATCTATCTATCTATCTACATAGAGCTGAAAAATGGAGGTAGCATTTTGGTGTCTGCTTTGGCTCCTTACACAAGGGCCTCTTTAAGAAGAAAGAACAGCACTTGGCTTGATCTTCAAAGCAAATCTCTGGTGCTCTTTTGAGAAAGGAGTTTTTTGGCCTGTACGGAAAGAGTCCAGCAACTGTGCTGCCCGATCAAAGTCAAGAGGAGGCCATGAGATGCACAGCTGCCTCCTGAGCCAGAAGGCCATTCATGCACCTCTTCCTTGGGATGTTCACCCTTGCCAGATATCCCCTTCTCTTTTGCCACTGTGCTTGAAGGGCCACTGAGAAGTGGAAGGCAGCTTTCTCTTCTTTTTCTAACCAGATAAAATTGCATTCAGTACAGACAAAAATAAAAGTAACCATTAAAAAAAATATACTGCAAAGGTGTCAGCTTTTTCCCATCCAGGGTGCGTCCTTTAATTTCCCCAGGGTCGATTTTGCCAAGGGTTGGACCCCGTCTTCCGTGTTCTTCAGAAAGGAGAAGAAGTTGCAAAGGGCTGAAGATTCGCTCGGCTTGGCCTCCCTCGGATTGGTCAAGAGCGACAGGCCCACGTCGCCTGTTAGGTCCTCGGAGGCCAGGTCAAGGCTCCCCAGCTTGGCGAGAGAGTTGGAGCGCTTCAGGGGAGAGGAGACCGTCAAGCCAGCCAGCCGCAGCCGGGTTTCAATCTCCTGCGTCCGCTGTTTCACCAGCCCAGGCTTCCCACGCACACTGTGGATGCTGTCACTGCTGGAACTCCGCGTCAGGTTAGAACTCCTAGAAGATGACGGGGTGTAAGAGATGGTCTTGAGGAAGTCTTTCGTGAACATAGTCATGTGGTCCACCTTGCACAGGACAGGCGTGGAGGTTTTCTGAGAAGCTCCACCCGCAAGAAGGGTCTTCAGTAGCTTCTCAGAGACATTGACAGCATCTTCAGATGAGGGCGGCAGTTGATTCTCAGGGACAACCATATCCTGGGGCTCCTCTTCCAGGATAGTCACATCGGTTGTGCCCCCAGGACACTCCTTTCCCCGCCCAGCTGTGTCGGGTGGCAGGCCCTTGAGGCGCTCCAGCTCCTTCGTGTGCTTCCGAACCAAGCCAGCTTTCTGGAGCTGAAGAAGCGACTCCTGATGCTGCATCAGATAACTGTTACTGGTTGGCTTCTCTAAATCTTTACTGAAGAGCAAGTATTTCAGGTCCTTTGTCTGCCGAGCATCTTTTCTTGGAAAAGAGTCATGTTTTAGCCCATTGTTAAAGATAGGGGTTCTCTCACAGAGAGAATGTCTTGAGCCAAGCAAGGCACCTCCTGGTGTTTTAGGGACCTCCCTGGCCCTTTCAGAAGTACCACAGGGCCAACCTGAAGCTGGTCTATCGGTACTGATGTCCTGTACCTCGTTTCCCACAAGCATCGAGAGCAAACTGTTGGCTCTTGGTCCCTGGGATTCCTTAAGAGGAGACTTGCAGAACGCCTGCTCCAAAAACGTTGGGAACGAGGGCTGGGTGCAGACTGTGGCATGGTGGCATGGGGGCTCCGGTGGCAGGCCCTCAGAGGAATCCCTGAAGGTTTCAGGAGGGGCCCCACCCAAGGGATACATGCAGTCAGTGCAAGACTTGTAGGAAGGCTTCACTTTGTTGAGGATCCCAAATAGGGCTTCATGCTGAAAAGGAGAAAATAGGGAATGAACGGAAGAGGAACAGCAAACCCAACATTCAGCAGCAGGTACAATTCTCCATTCAAGGAACACTTGTCAATTCATGATATGAGATTTGGGCAATCAAATTTGTTTATGAACAAAAAGGTAGTCCTGAAGGAGAAAAGAAGACCTTAGAAAGGACTTAGATAGTTCTCCTTGGACCATCTCGCATGCTGGGGAGAATTTTTCCTTTAAGGCGGTGCTCCTCAGCTTTTATACATACATGTTATTTTTTTAAAAATATACTTTCTGAGTAATTAAGTGAATATCCACGAGAGTTCATTGGCACCCCCTTGAGAGAGGTGGGTCTACTTCTGAAACACCAGTGCCGAGGTCAAAGTACAAGAAGAGGCTATGGCACATTAAGGATCAGCTTGTCCTCCCGCCCTTGGAAACCTTGACCAGGTAAGAAAATCCACCATTAGCCTCACACGAAAGAGGCACGGGCGGAGTAGAAACAACTGTGCAAAAACTAACAGGAAATGGGAAACCCTAACCCCCTGCAGATGTGACTCGGGCACCCTTTGTGTTCGTCACAAGAACAGCTGCCCCACATGCCCGACAGGAAGCACGGGTCGTCCGGTTTGTTCCAGCCCTCAGAGAGAGGGATAAGGACGCTCCCGAAAGGAAAACGGCCCTTGAGGAGAATACACCATTGCCCAGCAAGGCGGATTGGGCCCTCTGTTCAGGGAGGAACTCAAAGAACAGCCTTGCTGGCCAAAGGGGGAGAAGAGCCCTGGGGCCACGAGAAGGCCACCCAGAGCAGACCTGGCCAAGCTCTGTGGCTCAGTCCTGCCCTTACTTCAAAGTCATCCGGGCAGCTCCTCTTACTGTTGTTGTTATTCAAGTTCTCGCAGTTGTGTCTGCCGTCCTCCTGAAGCGACCGCCGCTTCCATCTTTCAAGGGGCTTCTCCTCGGAGACCAGGAGCCGAGGAACTGTCTCCACCCTCAGCAGACTGGCCTCGGGGTTCTGATGGCCCTGGTCCTCCACACAGCTGGACAGGTCAGCCTGCTCCTTGACCTCCACCTGCAGCTGGCCCAGCAGCCCGGAGGAAGGCAGGTCCCTTGCTGCAGAGTCAGCCTCCTCCAGAATCGCGTCTCCCTCCAGATCCTCCACCTGGAAACACAGCTCCCGGGGGTCCGGCAAGGAGTCGGAGAGGCGCCGCAAGCAGTAGTGAAGGCCCACGGACTCTGGGGGCGCTCGGCGGTCTGCGCAGGCAGGTGGGCAAGGAGGTTCCAGATCCACATCCTCCAGGCTGCCAAGCAGGAAATCGCTGGGCCCGGCGGAGCCATCCGAACTGGCAGGGAGGCTGCTTCCCGGCTGCTGTTTCCAGAGCTTGTTGTGACGCTGTTTGCTAGATGGTGGGAAACGAGAGAGAAGAGGCAGCTGAGCCTGCAGCAGGAATGGGGGCCTGGCAAACGTCTCAGAAGGGACCCCCCTAGTTTCTTGGTCTGCAAAGGCGAGGGAGGTACTTCAGACCTGCAAGATCCTGGTAAACCTTACAATACAGATAGAGCTAGTAGTCCTGGGTGTGCTTCCTGTCTGGACTACCTCGCAAGGCCGACCGGTGATGACCCTGCTGCTGCTGCTGACCACAGAGCTTTAGAGAGCAGCGTCCGCAAAGGAGAGGCGCTTGTCCCAGCTCGGGTGAGAGGAACCCCAGGCAGACGGGAAAGCAGCCGTCAGACAGCACAGGACTGCTGACAGGCTCCTTGCGGGAAAGGCAAAACGCCTCCAGGAGGGCTCAGAGCCAGGCTGAAGATGCCACAAGGGCATCAAGGAGAAGGAGGCTGCCCTGCCCTCGGTTCTCCACCCCGGGTGCACAGAGTTAAGGGTCAGGAACAAAACACTGAAGCGTGCTTGGAAAGAAGAGGCTTAATCTTTCTCTCCCAGTTCATTTCTGAGCTCATAAACCCCTTTTCAGAAGCAGGGGAACTAAGGGGCAGTGTGGAGCCGACCCTTCCCCTGCCCACTCCCGCCCCCCCAACAAGGTCCACCTTACCTGGCATCCAGTATGCCCTGGTATTCCAGCAGCTGCCTCATGAACCCGGCGTTGGGCCGAGCAATGCTGCGTTTCTGCTTGACGTAACTGTAGGCTTTCTCCAAGGACCAGCCAAACTCCTTCATGGCGTAGGCAATGACCGTCGACGCAGAGCGACTCACGCCCATCTTGCAGTGAACCAGGCACTTGGAGCGGTTCCTCCTGGAAGAGAAGAGTGGTTCGAGGGGGTCAGGAGCAGAGACGGAGCCCTCAGGCACAAATGCCCTATTTCAGATCTCACCCCTGCTATACAAAGGCCATCTTGGAAGGCTTTGGTGAAACCCCCAAGATAATTTCATTTAATTTACCGCTACCTTGCAAACAGCCATTCAGCCATACTTGCGGGGACAGCTGAAAGGGGTTAAAGTGTCCATCTTTAGCTGCAGGACACTCCAGTTGCCCAGTCTCTGCGGCAAGCAACCCGCAGAGGCACAGCACTGCCCTCTGCCCTTTGGGGAACGTTTCCTTGGTGTATCTCACCAGATGTCCCAGCTTCCGACAACCGAATTGCAGCCCAGTGAGATTCCTTCCGGGAACTCACTTGGCTTTATTGATAAAATGGTAGGCCTCGTTCCAGTGGGCGAGAAGATCGGTGGTTTCTTCATCATAGACTCGGATGTTGTGGTACGCGAACAACCCTGGGAAGAAGTTGTCGATCTCCCTGGTGACGTTTAAAATGTAATCAACGCTGAAAGGATGGAAACAGATGGAGCAACAGGGGAAGGGAAGAAATGGCGGTCTCCATGAGAAAGGAAGGGCCATTAATAAATCAGTACCACTCAGCCAAACCTTACAATCTTATATTGCAGCTTGCGTCTGAACTCATAAATTTCCATCCACCTTACAAAGCGGACACAAGAAGAAACAGACTCAAAGGAACCCTAAAAACTAAAAATTATGTTAAAATTATTTAGACATAATTTATTTAGACTGGCTATAGTAGCATAATCTTGCAGATCCGATTGTGCTTCCCCTCTTCTCTCTTCTATATTCATGTGAATTGAGGGGGGTCTGACACATTTTCGTAATCCTCCCCCCTCGTTTGGACTCAAGCAATGTTTTCCCTTTTGTGCCTTTGGTAACAGATCTTCCCTGTCAAGGTCATCATCTTTACTCTTTACAATTTCTGGCTGAATATTCTCCATCTATGGAGGGTTCTCGTATAGAGGAGGATCAAACCTTTTCAACCTTGGCAAGTTGAAGATGCATGGACATGCTGGCTGGGGAATTCTGGGAGCTGAAGTCCACACGTCTTAAAGTTGTCAAGGTTGAAAAACGCTGGTCTAACCGAATTGATGTAGTCTTCAAAAAATAACCAGCAACGCTCTGGAATTCAGTGTCCTGGGATGGAATGAAGAACATCAAGAGATCCACTATCTTCTTCCACTGCATCTCCTAAAATTGTCCCTCCTAAGCCAAACATTCAGAGAGGAGAAGAGAAGAGAAGCCCTGACATATCCCTCTTCTTCCCTGACATACTTCTTCCTGGTTCTCCCTTCCCTTGCCTTGGTCCCAGTCAAACTGAGGCACCAAAACTTTGATCAGGATTTTGATCAGGATCAACTGAACAAAGTAAAGGAAGAGCGTCTCCACACAATGCACGCCCTCTGTTCCAGCCATGAAGAGCCCTTTACCAAGCCCCACATCCATTCCCAGGCCTGCTAACTTGTTGCCCAAACCTCCGAAGTGGAAAACAAAAGAGCGTGTTTCTGGGTGCAGACTCTGCAGAGCCTCTCTCCCCCAGGGTTCCAAGACAGAGGACCTGCATCAAGGAACTGGGATTTTTCCCAGGTGTTTTCCGGCAAATTTTCCGTGCCACCTGCAGGCCACTTGACTAGAGAATCCTGACCTAAACGAAGCTCTGGTAAACTCACCCTGAGCCCCGAAGCTCCTCCAGGTTTGAGGCGTTCCACTCAGACCCCTGGAAGAATCACAGCAGAGTCAGGAGACGGTGCTCGGTGGGCTTTCGGAGAGAGAGCTCACATGCGCTGCTGCTTACCAGGTAGAGGTGATCGAAGATGAGGGAGGGTTTGTCCATCTGCCCTAGAATGAGCAGCATCTCGTTGTCGATGAATTCTTTGAATTCTTTCAAACTGCAGTTCATCTGCTTCTCCAGCTCATTCCTGATCTGCCAAGGGAGGGAGAGGACTTGTCTCACAGGGGCTGGCTGCTGGGGCCCAGCTGGAACACGGGCCTTAATGGGGGAAACCCCCAGCCCCAAGTCCTCAGGCTCTTGGGCTTACTTCCTTGGAAGTCACATTCTCCAGATCTTTGCTCATCATGATGCTCCGGAGCTTGGCCTTGATCAGCCGTTCCGCCCTTTCCCGCTCCGTTGGCCTGGAAGGAAGGAAGGAAGGAAGGAAGGAAGGAAGGAAGGAAGGAAGGAAGGAAGGAAGGAAGGAAGGA